CCCCACCCCATCTGCAGCTCTTTCGTTGTCAAACAAAACTAAAACGAGACCCAAATCTCCCTTAGTATTTCGTTTTTCCCCTGACTATCTCAGCGACACCGGGTCTTCTCCTAACCAGGTTCTCTGTCCCGTGGAGAAGAGGAATGAAATTCACGGTCACGGACAACAGAAGAGCAAGGGAGAGGGTGCAAAGGTTTATTGCGGAGAGAAAGCAAAGCTCCGGTTGCATGAGAGGGGTCCCGAAAAGGGCTCCCCTGAAGCTCACTAGTCTGGGGGTTTCTATTTCCTACATTTGTTCTCACTGGCTCCTTCTAAGAATTCTACCTTAGTAACAGCCATTCCCTCTTTGGTTTTGGTTTCCCACTTCAGGGGGTCGGGTGTTGGGCAAACTTGGTTTTCTCATATCCTGTTTGCCCAGAACATTTCACCTTTGCGTGGTTCATTTCTCCTCGGAGTCCCCAACCCTAAACTGCCTGGCTATTTCTGACTCCTCGTGAGTACATTCTTCTTCCAGTCACAGCCAACTTCTCCAGAGAGGTGCCTTAATCTGTGTTTCATTCCTGATTTCTAGTTCATTCTATGATCCCACTGCAATCATCTGTCCCACCACTCCTCTCAGAGGGCCCTGGAAGAGGCCACACTCTGCCAGGAATGACCTCTCCCTAGTCGTCTTGACCAGTGCCCATCATTTTCGACACGTGGCTCAGTCTCCATGTCTTCCAGGCTGCCTTTCCTCAACACCTCCACTCCCCTGCCACGGAAGATTTTACCCTCGCTGAGCTCGAAAGCCACCTAACACGCAGCTACCTACCCGCGCTCCGGTAACCCAGCCTGTAGGGCTCCCTCTGATACCAGGGAATCACCCTGAGGCCGGAGCTTGTGTTTTACTCTTATCTCAATACTTAGTATTATTCCTGCTATTTTTTAGGTGCTCCGTAAATGCTTTCTGAATCAATTAATAATTTTTAAAATATGTTTTTATTGATTTCAGAGAGCGGAAGGGAGAGGGGGAGAGAGAGAGAAACATCAATGATGAGAGAGAGTCATTGACCGGCTGCCTCCTGCACGCTCTTTCCTGGGGATCGAGTCCACAACCCGGGCATGTGCCCTGACCGGGAATCAAACCATGGCCTCCTGGTTCATGGGCCCACATTCAACCACTGAGTCACACCAGCCGGGCTGAAGCAATTAATAATTTAATATAGTTATGCTTTTATAGAAATATGTCAAGTTCCATTTAGTATCAGGTCCAATTAAGTGACAAGGCTGTAGCTCTTTCTTCCCCTAGGTAATGCCTACCTGTTGAGACCGTCTTCCTTAAAACAAGACAATGATTCATCCACTAGTGTTCCTTGAGTACCTCTTATGGAGTGGCNATGCCTACCTGTTGAGACCGTCTTCCTTAAAACAAGACAATGATTCATCCCACTAGTGTTACTTGAGTACCTCTTATGGAGTGGTNTGAGACCGTCTTCCTTAAAACAAGACAATGATTCATCCACTAGTGTTCCTTGAGTACCTCTTATGGAGTGGCAGAAATTTCCTGTATTGTAAGTTTAGAGTTCACATAGAACCACAAAATTCTAGGAAACATATGTTACAGATAAAACCTTTTTTCCATAGTGTCAAATGTCCCCAAAACTAGAACATCAAATGCCTAGAGCAAGAATGACAAACTCAGATGCCTACAAGGTCCAGGCAGGCGATGTGGTCTGGCAGAGACTCTGATAAACTGGAGAGTACTTGCTGTCTCCAAAGAGGGCCATGGAAATAGCCCTAGATGACTGCCAACAGATGAGAATGAGGGTCCACTGTTCACACATGTCCTTTTCCAAGAAGAGCTGGAAACCAAGGGAAATCTGATGGTTTTTATTTAAGTACCGTAAACTATGTTTCTATGCTTTGGTTACAGCTAGGGGTCTATTAGCTTGCGAACTCTGTAAGACACAGAGAAATGATTCTTTTTCATTGTTTTCCTAAGTGCAAATGTTCCTAATTATCAGAATTGTAAATTTGCGTGGACTCTTTCCCCAGGGTTCCAAGTGGTGTGTGGGCGTCTCAGAGCTTCTCCGCAGCCAGCTGCTGTAGAGCAGGGTACTTCCTTGTGCAACTTGCCTGCTTGACCCCCCGAATCACTCTGAATAACTTCTGTCTGCCTCCTGACAAGGGAAATGCAACACCCTGTTTCACAGGATCTTAATTTGTTTATTCTAAACAAGACAGAACAAAAACACTTGAATAATTGAAGAGTTATACCTCGTTCCAGAATGGGAAAACCAGTAATTCAAAGGTGTCAATTCTTCTTAAATTTACACATTGAGACTATCTTGGTAGAACTTTACAAGTGGGTTTAAAATATTAACTTAGAAGGAAGATTGTATGAGAGTAAGGCTGGGACACGCCAATGCTAGGGAAAGAAGAGTAACAAGAAAGATCTAACAACTACATATTGCTCTGCATTGTAATGATGAAAAAGTGTAGTGCTGGGAAAGACCGTCCAACAACAGGCCCATAACTATAAAGATATTTAGCAGATGGCAAAGGTATCCTTTCATATCAGTGGAGGGGGGGGATCAATGAATCTATCTATTCAAAAATTTTAAAAGGTTCTTTGTTGGTGCAAAACTAATACCAGATACCAAAACTTTATAGAAGAAAAGATTGTGTAATTTAAACTTCTGTATGGCAAAAAAGAAGATCACATGTGCAATATTCATGAGACAAAGATTTAGTATCATTCATAAGAGTACTTCCAAATTTATAAAAGAGACATACATATTTATGTCTCTATATATTTATTATATATTTATATATGTCTATATTTATAATATATAAGTATATATTATAGTATATTTAGAAATAACTATTTCTAGAAATATATATATTTCTAAGATGTTTGTCTTTGTGTGTGTATGTATATATACACACTTTCCTGGTGATTAACTTAGAATTACATTTGTCCTATCATACTGGCAAAGATAGACTTGCTTGTGGAGGTGTTAATTTGCTCAACCTTTTCTGAATATTACTTTGGCAATAAGTTCTCAAGTGCCTTGGAAAGTTCATATCCTTTGACCCAGAAAGTCCATGCACAAGAGTGTGCACAGACGAATGCTCACTGCATGCAACAGAAGTATCTGCACCAACGCAGATTCACTGATGGAGGGTGTTGGATCCATTGTGTTCCATCCATTCAAAGGATTACTATGCAATCATAGGAAAAGATGAGGAAGGCCTACATTTAGTGTCATGGGAAGATGTTCACCTATATTAAGTGAAAAAAGAGGGTGACAGTTTAGGTATAGAATAATTCTATTTTTGCAAATTTGTATTAAGTATGAAAATTTTTAAACAATTACAGGCTTAATGTCCATAATGATTATCTTTGAGTGGTGAATGAATGGCTAGTCTTAATTTTTATTCCTTTTGTACTTTCTAAATTTTTAATACGCATGCATCTTTATGGCATTATAGGAAAAGCCATTTAAAGCTCTAAATTGAGTACAGCAGAGGGAGAGGGCTGGCTTCGGGTGTAAGACAGAGATGGCGAAGGTCTCCATTCAGCCAGGAAGACNCATGCATCTTTATGGCATTATAGGAAAAGCCATTTAAAGCTCTAAATTGACTACAGCAGAGGGAGAGGGCTGGCTTCGGGTATAAGACAGAGATGGCGAAGGTCTCCATTCAGCCAGGAAGACTTCCAGATGAGCTGAATCTCTTTCTCTAATTAACTTTATAACATGTAGTTTTTGTTATTGTTGGTCCATATGGTAATACTCTATCTACCTTGTCTCTATGATTTTTCTAAACAAGGCCTATTCCCTCAGACTTGGGTTTTAAAATTTGTGTTTTTTTTTCTGTTGATGTATTTGTTGAAAATNCTATGATTTTTCTAAACAAGGCCTATTCCCTCAGACTTGGGTTTTAAAATTTGTTGTTTTTTTTTCTGTTGGTGTATTTGTTGAAAATTGGCATCCAGCAATTCCCTCAACCTCTACCAGCTGCTTTGGAATAAACTCTAAATTTGTTAAAGGAACAAAAACTTTTTAATTCATATTTCATTTTATTTAAATAGTTTTGGTTTTTTTGGTTAATTTTCACCCAAGGATATTTTTTCCATTGATTTTCAGAGAGTGGAAGGAAGGGGGGAGAGAAGGGGAGAGAGAGAGAGAAACATCCATGTCAGAGAAACACATCTATTGGTCGCCTCCTGAATGAGCCCTGATGGGGGCCAGGGATCGAACCTGCAACCCAGGTACATGCACTTGTCCAGGAATCTAACCCGAAACCCTTCAGTGCACGGGCCAGCGCTCTAACCACTGAGCAACACCGGCCAGGGCTTAAATCTTCATTTTCCTATTACAAGGATCTCCTTTTCCTTTGTTTTCTCTGCCTTGCCCATCCCCCTCATTCCACCTTGCGTGTACCCCTTCCTCCTGGAAATGATTTACTTCTTTTGAGAGGCTGCGGTTAAAGAGGTAGCCTGCTTAGGTTCAAACCCCACCTCTGACCTTCATTAGCTGTGTGACTCTGGGCAAGTTACCTAGCCTCTCTGAGTAATGAGATTCCATTTCCTAATCTGTAATTTGTAAATCTGCATGTACTTCAAAGGGTTATTGTGATGATCGAATGAGTTGACAGATGTCAGTCACTTAGAACAATGCCTGTAGTAATCATGATGTAAGTGATAGCTATGACCATTTTTATTGAACTTTCCTTCCTAAGCCAGTCCCTGATCCCATTTCATCATACCCACATCCACTTGCACTAATCACAGTACCTCATGGAAGCAGTAAGTGGAGCCATAACATTATTTAAGGCCAAAGGAAGGGATGTCACTTGAGGGGTGGTCTCCTCAGGAGCACCTGCCGAAGAGCTCCCTGCACATCAGGGTTCCGGAGGCTGTAGATGACGGGGTTCAGCATGGGGCTGATGACAGTGTTGAGGATCCCAATCCCCTTGTCTTTGTCCGAAGCTTCCACTGAACCCAGCCGCATGTAGCTGAAGACGCCTGTCCCATAGAAGATGCCAACCACAGTGAGGTGGGAGCCACATGTGGAGAAGGCCTTCTTCCTGCCCTCGGCAGAGCGGATTCTCAGGACTGCAGCTACCACGTGTGCATAGGACACCGTGATGAGAACCAAAGGGGCCACACCCATGAAGGCTGCTGCTACAAAGAGCAATTGTTCATTGAGCTGGGTGCTGGAGCAGGAGAGCTGGAAGAGCTGTGGGAGGTCACAGTAGAAGTGATTGATCACATTGGGGCCACAGAACTTAAGAGTAGATAAAGCAACAGTTTGGGTCAGCGCGTTGGTGAAGGAAAAGGCACATGACATGCCTGCCAGGGCTTGCTGGAGTCCCCAGCTCATGCGGGTGCTGTAGGTGAGGGGCTGGCAGATGGCCAGGTAGCGGTCATAGGCCATGACCGTCAGCAGGAAGCAGTCCACCCCGGCCAGGAGGTGGAAGAAGAAAAGCTGTGAGAGGCAGGCCCCGTAGGGAATGCTTTTCTCACTGGATAGGAAGCGCCTCAGCATGGCAGGGACAGTGACACTGATGCACCCGACATCCAGCAAGGACAAGTTTCCCAGGAAGAAGTACATGGGCGTGTGGAGTTTGGGTTCAATGAGGATGGCAGCCAGGATGCTGAAATTGCCACCAACAGTAACTACATAAGCGAGAAGGAAGATGACAAAGAGGATCAGCTGCAGAGCTGGAGTCTCTGTTAGGCCCAGCAGGACAAACTCAGTGACGACTGAGTCATTTCCCGAGGCTCCCAGATCCATGGCTCTCTTCCACCAGCAGTAGAACTGAGGAAAGCGAAAAGGTGCCAGTGGTGGTAAGCAGAGAATGAGGTCTTGATAACAACCACCACATGTAGCCATGTCCAGGAGAGGGCCAGGATGTAAGGACACATAAAATTTAATGGGAAAAAGTTAGACTGAGACATAGTAAGAAAAGACAATAAATATGACAATCGGTAAGAACAGTGGAACTGAACAGACTCAAGCAGAGATAGAGAGATGGACCGACATTAAAGGGGAACATATGTAACATCTGAAATGTAAAGGGAAAGATTAGTTTCCTGACACCGAAGTTCCAAGAAGAGAATTCCAAGCCTTTAAATGGTGGCGTGGCCATAATTTGGGTGCCCAAGATCCAGAGAATGAAATGGAGGATTCAGAGGAAGGGGAGGGGAAGGCATGTTCCCCTCAACCTGTGCCCCTGCCGTCTCCACATACACATGTGGTCAGCATCACTGAGATGTTCCATTGCCCAGACTATTAAGAGGTTAACTTGTGAAGCCATGAGACTTGCTCTGGACTTTTCAGAAAAAAAAAGTAAAATGCAATGAAATGAAAACAGTGAAATTAAGTGAGGAGATATCATTGAGGGCATCTCCATAGCTGGTGACTAGCAACCTTCCTAAGATTTCTAAATACTAAGATTACACTGTGTTTCTCCATATAGCATCTGGGAAATTTGGGTTCCAAAAATACTGGCCCTTTACTAAATAAAAAAATTTTTAAAAGAGCTTTTGAGCAGGGTGAGAGTTTCCAGGCTTAAGCCCCCAGGTGTGTGCGGTGGATGCCCAGTTGAGCTCTCTCACAGCTGGATAAGCAGGTGCCCAGACTCTGAATCCCCTCGTGCCTCCGGTTGCACCATCACTTACCTTCTTGCTCACACTCTCCTTGTCCTAACAGCACATCATCAACACACACACTATCAGGGACCTGATGACCAGGTAAGTCTGAAGTCTGTTACAGTGCCGTGGCCTGCCCACACGCAGTCACTTAGACAATGCTTTCCTTTCCCCAGCTCCGAAGTGGTCACGCTGATTAAATACATAGTGATCTGCCTCAACCTCTGCCTGAGAAATGGATATTTTAATCACTCATATGGGATCTGCCCTGAACAGAAAAAGGCTGCACTTGGAGCTCTCCAAGGGGCCAGAGGCATGAGCAGAGGAAGACATTTCCTGATGATTAATGTTGAGAATAAAGTCCTCAAGTCCATAACAGGTCAACCACCATCTAATGGTCCGGCTTGTTCTGCAGGGACATGTTGTTCTGACCACCACTCCAAACTCAGTCTCTCCAGACCAAACTGGCCTTCATTCTCAATCTACTCTTGACTTAACTATTGGGTAACAGCCTTGCTACCCTCCCAGTTAGTAAAGTTTAAAACTTGAGTCATCACTGACTCCTTCCCCTCTCTAACCCTGACATTCAAGCCCCCGTGTCTCACTGGATCTTTTCAGGACAAGAGAGAAGCCATTCCAGAGCTCAGAGGATGAACTTCACTTGTAAGGAAACCAGGTTGAGCACGTGCAGCGAGATGGCACTCACCCAGTCAAGAGAATGAGCACTTCTTGGGCAAAGAGGAGAGAAAGTTTTGGCAGCCCAGAGGCCTCCCCCTCAGAGGAGATAGCTTATAAGGACAGAGAGTCAAAGAGACAAACAACTCAGCTGACATCATTTTCACATTGGGATTTTCCTCTGTTTCACTGTTACCCCGAGAGGCCTCAGAAATTAGCACCTTCCAGGGGGAGCCAGAGCCTGATGAACACCTGTTTTTGTCGCAGACATAATGATGTCTGTCAAATACCTTTAACATGTTTTGGACTTTTTCAAAGTGTTTCCAAAGTGTTGCCGTTCCTCATGAATATGGCAACATTCAGTTATTTGGCAAAAATGTTTTTGAGCACTTACTATGAACCTGCACTCTTATCAGCATTTCACAGAGTTAAGATGAATCTCAGGAAGTCTTCAAGTGCAGAAAAGGTCACACAGTGCTGGGGATGAAGTTGGGACTTTGGGTTTCTGGCTTAGTCCAGCCTATTATTATGGGAGGGGAAGAGTAGGGACTCATGACTTGCTAGCCTTGCCTGCAGCGTGGGGCTGAAAGGAGGGTGGACCCTGGGGTAGGATCTGCTCCTGTCTCATTCCTGGAGCAGTGTCCTATCCATCACCTCACAGGGTCCCCTCACATCTTCCATCACAGCTTATTTGAACCATCCTTGAACCCAGCTTCTCTTCTAGTCTCAAACAAATGCCTAGCCTTTTCTCTGCTCCCACCGTGTAACCCAGGCCCTTTAGCATCCTGACCCTAAATGTCTTCCAGCCTCATGCCCTAACACCATAAAGGAAGGTCAAGGTCTGAAATACCTTCTAGACCAGGGTCCACTCTACTTTTCTAACTCCTGAAATCAGCTTTGGGCATCAAATACAACCTTTAACAATTTCCCACTGGCTCTCATTAGCAAGTTAATGAGAGAAGGAGAAGGTCCTTGCAGGATCAATTGAGGAGGCTCATAGTGGCTCAAGGCTCTCATAGGCCAAGGAGGAGTTGGCAGAGAATTAAGATGAATTGGGATCACTGTTGACAGCTGTCCATGGAAGGGAACCTCTAGGTCACAGAGCCCAAATGGAACCCATTATTGCACATTCCCCTCCTGACATAAATAAAGGTTGTGTTCCCTCCCTGGAAAGCCTCCTTTTCTCACACCCTGTTAACTCAGGAAACTCCATCCTTGAAGATCCATCTCAGGTCTTCTCTCTCCCAGGAGACTGTCCATGAGCCCCTCCGTCTGGGTGTTCTTCCTCTATACTCCCATAGCGGTCGAAGGGCAATGCATGCTGGTGATACTCAATTTTTATTTCCAGCTTTTAAAAACTATCTGTATATTTTGAGCTCCATGTGGTTATATTAGTCTTCAAAATTTGATAATGACTTTCTAACATTCTATCATTTGCCTATGCCAAAATTTACTTAACCATTGGGTATTTAGTTTCCAGTTTTTCACTATTATAAATAATAATGCAACCAAGTCTCTGCATCTCTGATTCTTGTCCTATGTCTTGAGTAGTTTTTACCCCCAATTTGTGCAAGGGTCTTGTCTCAGCCATCAGTTCTCTACATTCTCAAGACTAGATTCTTACATCATGACGAAAGTGCAAACTACTTAATTATTTATCTTTTTCGGGGGCAGAGGAAACATGTACTCTTCATATCTCCACCTATATTCTCCATATCCTTTGACTATATCTTTATTTTGATGTGAGTTTTAACTGGCTTCAAGGTCTGGTGACTTGCTTGTTAACAGAGGTATTTTAACTCAGTTAACTGTGAAGGGAAAGAAGAAAGATCTATTATAGAAACACATGGCAATTCAAAGCTCTCATGTAATCAAGATCAACTAGTGGAAAGGAAGCAACTGCTTGAGTTTTTACCATTTAATTTATATTAGGACTTGCGAGGAGGAAGATGCTGACGACAATGCCGGTTATGTCATTTACTTACAGATGATTGTGATACAGATTTTACTCAACAGGATGACCTTACTACAAGGCTCAGAACTGAAAAAAAATCTTTTTAAAAAATTATTTTATCTTTGATGAATAATACTTTCCCCTATTAGTTTTATTCTGAGTGCATTTAATACATAAAATACTAACAATATATACATCTAACAAATACATAACGACAGTATATAACAAAATAAATGCTGCACATGTGGTGGTTCTCAGCTTGAGAATGAAAGTTACCTCACCTAGAATTGAAACAAATATGGCAGTGATTGGAGAGTCCTGATGAAGTCAGTTTCCACGAGGGATGGTAGAGCCTCCTGGAAGAGGGTGGAGAGAGTTGATACGCCCAAGTCTAAAGACAATGCATAGAATATCAGAGAGAAGCTTATCTTCTGGTGCCATTCCCCTGTAGTCCCACCTCCAATTCACACTGATTTCAAAGAAGAGAGAGATTTAATAAAGAGATGGTGAATATAAAGTTATCTTGATAATTCCCTTATTGGTAAGTTACTTAAAATTTCCCCTTAGGTGTAGAGCTTTTCTATACTTAGAACAGATTCCTAGAAGTGGTTTCAAAGATTATGAAGACTGGTATATGTGATAGCAAAGTAAACTGTTTCCCCCTAACATTTTATTGTAAAAAATTTCAAACATATGGTAAAGTTCAAATAGTTATTCAGTCAGCCTTTTTGACTTCTTTAAGAATGATTGAGCTCCTAGAAGATCGTGAAGATATTCCATAGACTATTTTAAAGATTTTACAATTTTACTCTTCAATGTAAGTATCTCATCCACCTGAAACTGATTTTTGTGCACGGAGTGAGAAAGGCATTTAGGGTTATTTTTTTCTCTGTGGGTACCTGATTGTCCCAGCATTGCTACTGAAAGGCCTGTCTTTTTCCTACTGTTCTGTTGGCTACCTATATTACATATCAAATTTCTATATATTATTTCTTCTACTTTGTTCTTTTGGTTTATTTCTCTAATTTCAATAAAATACGACATGTTTTTAATTACTATACCTTTAAAATGTGTTATGATGTCTTGTGGGGCTCAGAGAGATTTAGTAGCTCGCCTGATGGAGCAGCTTAGTGAGACAGTAAGACTGTCGGTCAGTGGAGGGTGGCTGGGGACCGGGCTTACCAGAATGAGCATGACTTAGACATGGAAACCCAGGCTCATCCACTGCTTGACGGACACTGGGCACATTGTAAGATGGGTGGCAAGCATCTGAAGGTGGAAAAGTTCCCACTAACTCTCTTCCCGTTGCCTAATATCTTATAGGTAGAGGCACCTACAACTGACCATGAAAGGGCTGGAAAGGACTGGCACCAACATCAGAGCACGGGAGAGACAGTCACAGGGGTGTATGATGTGGTAACGGTTTTTTTTGAAGCAGTTGGAAGAAAAGATGACAGAAAGTTGTATAGAAAATTGTTAAAACCACCTGATGAGGTTTGAGTTCCAGCTCTGCT